AAAATTGTTCAAAGTCAAAAAATAAGATACTTCCCAGAATCATCGCTTCTAAATATTAAAATGCACGCAGTTTTATTGTGTAAGATTGCTAAAAAAATGCTCAAATCAGACATGCGATATATGTATTTTGTATTAAAACATACAGATAAAAAAAATCACGCTAATTTCGCGCCTTCTGTAGATTGGGAAATATCAACCTATTTTTTCCCGTGATGGTGATGGAATCTAATGTCATCATAAATAAATTTTAACCCTGAATGTCAGTCAGCTCATCGACTGAAGTCTATTTTTTGCTACAATATACGGTGCAGTCGTTAATAGTATATTTTGAAAGTGTAGAAAGTACATTGTTCATGTGCTTTAGGTGTACAATACACAAAACGGGTCCATCTCGCAGTGTAAAGCAATAATTAACATAATTTTGCTTATGTACCGTCACACTTGTTTATATCTTGCGCTCATATGCGTGCGTAGCGACGGGCTGGTAAGAACCGATCGTACGTACTCAAATCCAAAAATATGACGTTTTTCGCTGCTGCTTGTATTACATATTGAGAGTGTAATATATGTTTCAAGCGAAGAGAGGTCTATAGTCTGTCTTTTGACAGATCTCTTTGATAGAACACATGCTTACCTTCAATAATATTTTGGTGTTGATAACATCACCGCTTTCAACCATTGCTAAAAATTCTGCTTCGGGAGGGGCCAGTCCATCTTTCCCATTTGCAAAATAGGCCCACTCCTTGGTTGTTAATTGGCAAAGATCGCGTACGTCTGAATTCGCCATGTTGAGTTTTGGTACCGACTGTCGGGTTAGGCACTAGAATTGGTGAATCCCTCGTAGTTCTCACTTGACACTGGTTGGATCAGTCAACGAGTCAACAATTTGTCAAAGTGTATGCTTTGGAAAGTGAATGCGATTTGCATGTCAATCAAGCATTTCTTATTTTTTCCAACCACGAGTCAATGTTGCTGGTCATATTGATATATATTACTAAGAATGACAGGTGTATTTTAGAATCGATGTTTAATTCTATATGATTACAATATTTCAAATGCATTGTTTGCATACATACTTTAAAATAGAGAGTTACTGGTTGTATTTATGCTATGTAATCAGCAATATCGGTTGAATATTCATTGATATTCTTTATAAATTTATAAATTATTTATAAATAAATACTCACTGCATCAGCGTTTCTATGCACTTATATTTTTGTGGAAATAAATGCTGAATTATTGTTGCTATATCTTAAGGAATTTCGATTAACACGATTATCTAATAAACATTTTATCATTGAATACTTAATTGAATATTTTTATTAGATTGTGTAATTTAAACTTGTTACTTTAAAAGTGTTGATTTTACTTACATCATGAATTGAACGCTCGATATGACAATGACTATAATAAATATAAATAAAGTGTAATTTAAATGAAATTAACCGTATTGGGCGACAATAATATGCAAGTGAAAATGTTACTTGTAGTTTCCATTTCTTTATTTCTATTTTTTTAAAGGTTTTTGTGCCAGGCGATAGTTCCGGACATTGGATGTCATGTCACTGTTGTCTCTCCTGACGTTTTTTTGTATGTGCAAATTGCAAGTGCTAATGCTGAAACATAATGCATTATTGCCACATAAGTCATATTCATGTTTGGGACTACATGATAGGGCTGTGTGGCAATCCCTCTATCAAATGGCAATTTAATGTCAATTAAATTAAATCAACCAGAGTCGGTCGAACACAATCACCTGTGGACCTTAACAAGGTTCCCCAAAAGTCGCATTCGTTAGTTAATGAATCTCGGCCAGTGGAATAGGCCTTTCCATTGAGTCTGTGACACACTCACCCAGGGTAGGGATCGACCCTTTTGATGTTCAGCCTAAGGAATGATTTGAACTTGGGTCTACTGGTCATGGGTCTGATGCAACAACCACTAGGCTACCCAATGACCGGTAACTGATCTGATCGCATTCACTCCGACCACTACCATATGTTCTGAAATATGAATAGAATACTACAACAATACAATAGCAGGGTACGTTTTACATAAAATGTTTTCTCGTCTTCACAATGCATGTTGTGAATATCTGATAACAATTCGACAAAATTTCAGAACAAATTCAAATTTGAACTCCTTCTAAGTAACGGATGGGTAATGGTATCCCAAGTCTCATTTAACTCCAGGTCGAAAAACATCAAGCACAGATTTTAATTCTTGTTTATTATCATGCAAGAATAAATAAACATGTCCAAATTTATTTATATAAAATTACGTGCAAATGCTTGGAATGAATTTGAATAAATGAATCTCAAAATATGTTTACAAGTATCTGAACTTAAAACAATCATATTTATTTCATTTGCATGGTATTCTCTGAGTGAGAACCTCTTTACGGTGTCAAAGCCCATTTTTTGTTATGCATGTATTTGTCACATAAACTAGCTTTAATGCAATTAGATGCATCTTTCGGAAGAAAAAAATCAATATAGTTTAGTTTACTGCTATATTATACATAAACATAATTTGAGTAATAATGTTTCTACTTGTAAACTTGTAATCACAAACTCGTATATCGTAAAATCGTATACAATATATCTCATTACATATGCATTGAAACAAACAGAAGCAAACGGGTGCGGCAACGACCTAAATTATTAACAATATCAAAACAAAAATATGTATGATCATATTTATCTTTATTGATAAATCTCAAAGCGTTACTTTGAACATTTTACTGATGAAAACTATATATATGATGTAATGATAATTAGATATATTGAATGAAAAAAAAACGGCTTTGGAATGTCCAGAGAAAGGAATTTTATAGTGATTATAAACGCGATCTTTCTATTGCCGCTCGGACACGCTAGCCAATGTGGAACGTAGTCAGATACGAAATAACCACGATTGGTCTGTTCCGAGGCGTATTTATTCCTATAATTATTCATAATATGCAGTGAGCGTATGGAACCCGCGAATGGAACACGTCCTAAAGTGGAAAGTAAGCGTGCGCTTGTGTGAAAAATTCTACGCACCAGACCACGCTTGCATTATAGTTGCCTAGAATAGTTTAGACCAAAAACTTCCCTTTTCATTGCTCGGCACTTCAGCATTCATGTTAGTCATTAGTATATTTACCACCACACAACACGAGGTGAAACTTAGAGGTCACGGAAGTACAGACCAGTCGTGGCAATTTCGCATCAACGCCAGAGATTCTACAAACTCATTCTTCAAGGTATTAATACATAAATTGCTACATTGGGTTATAAATGATAAAACTAGTATGTTTTTCTTTGTGAATTTTGTGAACAAAAATGTTATCTTGATCTATCTCAATCGAATTATATATGATTAATCACTTATATTTACTTTGCATTCCGAGTAAATAAGTAAATAATACAGCTACATTCTTATCGAGCCTCATAAGGTAGAGAATGTATGTGATATATTGTCGCTGATATAATACAACACGGTATATGTTATGATTTCAATGATTATCAATCATCACGACTTTCTCGGTAACGAAAATGTAATGATCTCTTTATAGCATAATGCAAGATATAACAAACAAAGTATGCTTGCGTGTGCTGAATACTGAGCGCGCCAATCGCGCGCGCCAACGACGTTCGGCGTCTTGCACGTCGATACCTATTAAGCGAATGTAATTATAACATATGTTGAGACTGAATTGAGCATTGGCAGTAAATACTATAATAAATACTACAGCAAATTTACTCAAGTACCCGTATATACAATTGGGAATACACACAAGTGTACTAAAGATGAACCCACAGCCAGGTGGTTTAAATAATAGTCTGTAAAATATGTAGAAACTGTAAAAATCACATTAACATATTGTGCATTATAAGGAGTCAAACAATATTGAGATGTAATTAGAATCCAATAATCTGTATAAATCCGATCACAGTCGTTATCGTGTTTCTTATACCTGAATAACCCATACCAGTCAAATCTATAAACTGTCAAATATTCAAAAATTATCATGGTTATGATAACTAACATTGACGTTTAGAAATACGTCATATCCGTAGATTCTTTGACGTCTTCGTCTTCCAAAGTATGAGCAGACGTATAAAACTTCCGCATGATTTCCTTGTTAACGATTCCTTTCATCACCATATAACGATTACATAATATATTTATTAACTACAAAAAAAAATATTATATGTTTAATCACAATATACAATCGTTTCTGTAAAACAAACGGCCTCAGAATAACTAATTAGAACTACCGCAATGCATGTTGCTTGGTATACTACATATACTATATCAGATTTCTTAAGAATATGCCCTTTTATTGTGATTGGGGCCCTCTATAGTTGGGATCAGTATCTTTATTTCTGCTTCGCTTTGTTGACGTCGAGGTCACTAATACGATAGTCATGGTTACTGGTTGACTTGTATTCAAATGAAGTATATTGAAGCTGCCTGGTGTATCATGTAGCACTAACATAGTCCTACGACTCCTATGGCTCGTTTTTGAAAGCCACTTACTGTGTGGCTCATACCTTGATATTTTTTGCGAGACAGGCATTATGTGATTTTGGATACTGATCTGTGTCTTTCGTGTGCAAACAATTGTGGTTTCAATGTTCTTGAGATTGAATAAGCGATTTCTTATGGTTGCACGTCGTGCCTGAAGAGATGCACAATACTAATAGTATCTCAGGAATCCCGTAAGAGCTGTAAGATGTGTAATTTTATTGTTAAACTTGTAATTTATTTTAGGCCGTCATATGAGTTCGGCATTCATTTTGTCAATATAACCCTTCTTCATGCTCATTAAATGAAATCGGTTTGCGTTCTAACAAAAACAAAAGACTGTATAATGGGAGTATGCCAAATGAAATTTAGATTTTTTCTCCATTGAATAATGTATGTCCAAAAGGTGGAATAATACAAATACTTAACTCACCTCTTCATAGAGTAATCCTGTACTATTTATCTGTACTTCTCTGTTGATATAATTCGGTAAGCCTAACTGCAAATTTAAAATAATGCCCAGAATTAGACAACTGTCAACTTTTCGTATTATAAATATTCATTTGTTATTTTACCATGATCTTACTTCAACGTCTTCATCTGTATTCCATCTAGGCCTATATCTATAAACACATTTTGTGACAATAGAAACCAAACACGAGACTGATGGGATAATGTTATACGGAGCTGGCAATACGGGGGCGTCTACATAATTCAACCATATCTTCGTCCTCATAAATGCATATTCAACCTTGATATTATCCTAAAAAATAAGCATATATTAAACAAAGCAAAATGCGTTCTTATTGTTTTCAATCTCACATTGTTGTTACATCTTGTTATTTCCTCATAATTGTTATGATCAGTGTAACTTGGTGTTCTTGTAATCGAAATGCAATCAACTCGCCCAAAAATTGGTAGATTTGATTGTTGCCGTATTATCTATATTTTCAGACAAAGAATTTGTCATTGTTGGTCAGAGAGTAAAGTTAGAAAAAAGTTGAATGTGAAATGGAAAGTGTTGTGATTGAATTGCAATATTCAGATTGTTCAAATAATGTACACTATCATATTGTAGAAGCTAATGTTATGACGTTGGACCAACATTTTTACATATGTTACTCAAAAATACTTTGATCGATCACCTTGATATTGTGCATTTACAATGTACATAACCGTCATATTGTTTGACCACCATTTGGCTGTCTTGGAAAAATTGTTACAAACTAGGGAATTTATTTTTCATTGAGTGCTTTAACTGATCAAGTTCCT